AACAGATAATAACGAGGTGAATCTCCAAGATCACCTCTTTTCTCCTCGGTGAACTGTCGACCTGACCAACCAGCAGTTTCCAGTGCATCAGTCTGACCATGATCTCTGAACGCTGCCGGTACATCTTTTTGCTCGCCAGGTATTTTTCACTCGTATTGAAAAAGCACAGGTGTAACTTACAACGTGAACAATGGCTATCTTTGTTTTTCATTTAAATGCTCCAGTAAGGCATGCCAGTGAGCCGGCATAGCCAGGCACTGCAGTTAGGATGGAAATGGAATGCAGCCACAATTCACTTCTGTAATTAGACACATGCTTATCCTGCCACAAAATGCATGCCACTAAAAACAAAAAGTCCACCATCCTCTTTGGAAGTCCTAAAATCAGGTGTGTAAATGCTCTGCTGCGCCACCAAAACATCATTCATACAGGCTCAAAGGGGTGAAGCACTGTTGGACTCAGCTTTTTCCAGTTCATTTAACTCAGGCTGTGATTTCAAATGTATGTTCTGAACAATGGCATCTGATTTCGTGAAGTAAGTTGTCAGATCAACCAAATTCAGAAATAATGGAGGAGAATAATGATAAGCAAAGTGAACCACATTCTTTTTTTTTTACAGTTTCAACCCTGCAGTGCTTATGGTTCCAGAGGAAAGCTCCTCGAAAAGCATCAGAGTTAGTGTAATAATAGCAGACGTTGCTCGGGAGGCAATGCTTCACCACATGTTGTCATGGCATTTTGGAAAATCCCAGAGTTCCTTGCAGCAGAGGCCAGCTGGTCAAGCCCCAAAGCTGATTATTTTGTGAATGGGGGCGCAGGGTGTGTGTAGAGGGTCCGTGGGGATTTCTCAACTATACCTCAAGGCCCATTTCTTCCTAAGGGTTGCTGATCAGAAGGAGGAAGAGTTATTTTAGATTTCAGTTCACCAGCACATTTTTCCCCCCAACATTTATCATTTCATCGAAGAATCAATAACTAACGGAATACTTGAGAAATGTCATGTAGTATGAAACCACTTCCTTTCAAGAATAAATATCTTCAAGATAAATATATTTTTGAGGGGGCTGTCAAGGTTTTCACTTCACAATTATCATGGCCAAAAGCCAAAATTTGAAAATAAATAAATGGTGCTATCGTTCAAATTTATCTTTAACTTTTGTTAATATCATGGTCATCGTCTATAACCGGTATATCACAACTCGGCTATTTTATTTACAGTGTCAATAAAGTTGTGAAAAATGTCTTTCTAGATATGGAGTGATAGAAAAGACGACCAACTAAACACTAATGTTTATTTGTAGGAAAACAATTATATATGTGTGGGTTCACAAAGAAATTAGAAAAGTTATAGAATGACACTTTAAAAGCTGAGATATTTCAAAATGCATTTTCTTCATGCAATGTAACACTGGATTAACACAAGCATTTTGTAGAAGAATATACAGTATGAATAAAAAGAAAAAACATGCTAATTTGGCAAATAACGGACAAGCTGTATTATTATTTTTGTACCAGTGTGTGTTTGTGTGTGCATGTGTGAAGGGAGATCTTCTCAGTTTGAGGACTGGGTCAGTTTTGACTTCCTACTTCTACATCAGACAAAGGTGTCCTCACTGCCAAAAACCAGGTACTCCCTGCTACACGTGTGTGTGTGTGGGTGTGTGTGTGTGTGCGTGTGTGACTGAGGGAGAGGTGTGTGTGTGCTCCACTGACCCTGTCTGACCTTGCTTTCCCATGCCTCCCCCTACTGTCATGAGTGGGCACACACAAAATCACAACTGACTGTTTAGGCCCCAAGGTGCCATCACATGTGATTGCAACAAACCATTGGTTTGGGAAAATGCCGTGTGCTGATGTTGTGTCCTGTAGTGAAAAACAAATCCTACAGAGACTTTTTACCACCAAAGAAAGGGTTGGAAATGGTTCACATGTATCTTGTTCATACCCATGCCCACGTTGGCATTTTACATCATATTGTCTCTGTTTGAGTTTGGTGTGTATTTAAAAGTGTGGATGATGTCATGTCTCTAACCTTGGTGCTACTTTGATTGAATAAATCTTCTCTGGACAGTAAGTGATCATGGGGACGGAAGGGCATAAGAATTCACCAACACATTCTCAGTCCCAGAGGTGTCTTTTCAAAATAAACTTCAGTGTTGACAGGAAACGTATCTGCTTGTTACATATATAGAGTCTCTGTTTAAAATATACTTTCAACAAAGTTTACTTAGTTTTTAGGTTTACTTACTCAACAAAAGCAATTGGTTAGGATTAGGAAACAAAAGTACTTGGTTAGGTGTTACCTAAGTTACGTCCTACCTACCGTCTAGGACTAAGGAACCCTAACCTTTCACAGTAATTCTACCACTTATATTATCAAAAGTATTTATCAGCACCCAAAAGAATAACAGAAATACATTGGCAAACAACAAAATAAGGAGATACATCACTGATAGCTGACTGCTTGGGGTGGTTTGAGGTTTGGGGGCAGATTTTTTCTTGCACTTTCCTCCGCAGACATATTAGAGAATTAAGCCGACGACACCTCCATGAGACGACAATGGTTTCTGGCATCCCAGAACCACCTCCACACCCGCTGTCAGTGCTGATCAGACCCCTACATGCCAAAAATAGACCACCGCCATAACCACCCTGGCGTTATACCTTCGGTTACTGTTGTGCTTGGCGAGCAATGCTTGTTGTTTACCGCAATATGGGCAACATTTTAAATTTGAAGATGCTAAAATTTATGTCACAAATAGGAGGTGGGGATTTGTGCATCTATCAGGGTTGACAAGGGAGGTTGCATTGGGGTCATTGAAGATCTGCATGTGTGTTTTTATCAATGATCCCATGCGTGGGTGTGTGCACGTCTATATGTATGTGCGTCTGCGTGCGTACATGAGCGTGGGAGGTGCCGGCAGGGTACGCCACAAGTACATCTCCCAGAATCCCTCAGTTATCAAAGAACCTAATTGCACCATGAAAAATATAAGCAGGACAAAAATAGAAAAACAAACAGCAAAAACTGTGAGAAGGATAGAATACAGAAGGAAAAGCTCAGAGAGAATGAGAGAACATGAGTACTGTGTGCATTGTCTTAAACGCGTACAGGTAACACTGAGAATATGAAAGAGACTCTGATAGATGGTGAGAGAAAAGGAAGATTGAGTAGATTGGCCAAGATGCCATTACAGAATCATCAAACATCATCGAACAGTTTTATGGTCCCATAGATATAAATTAACTGAACACACTTTGAGGAATCATGATGATAGAACTCTCCTTTACAGAGCCTTAATCTGAGGCGAGAATGTTTCTCTACAACACATATTTACCCAAGCAGACAAAGAAATAGTTGTCATTCACAGTTATGGTGTGAAGAGTTGGCGGACGGTATATGTGTGTGTTTGTGCCGGGGATGGGGGTGTATAGTTAATACATATTCACACTTCAGAGACGCGTGCGCCAACAGTGTTCTGAGGGACTTCACTAAATGGACACATTTAGTGAAGAACTGTTATTGTCTCTGTCTAGACTGTTCCCCTTTGTTCAGTCATCTCAAGCTTTCAACCAGAGAGGTTGGATAGAGAGGTTCATCCTGATAGCCTGTTGGTTATAATGGAACACAACTGAATGAGTGACGTCAGACAAATATGTGTATGTAAGTAAGTTTAATTGATTTCTTTTCAAAAGTATTACAATGGGTCAATATTACAAATTTTTAAAAAGAGCTTGCTGCATTAAAAATGCATTTAAGAATGAATAGGTGTTGACATGAGATCTTATACAGTTTGCATTATAGTTTGCTGACCTGACCACCAGAGGTAGCCTAAGGTTGACAATAAAGCCCACAGCAAACACCAACAAAAAAACAACAAGGCAGAAAGAAAATGCTGCTTGGCTGCAGTATGAAAATAAAATTATGTTTTTGATTATGTCTTTTAATACTGTACTCTTTCGTTTGTCGCTGGTTGAATGGTGCTTCATGGCCACCACACTGCGCACAGCTCCCAAATAGCAAATCACAGCTTTCACGTCAATAATTTCATATATGCCAGGCTCAAGTCTACTACTCTCGTTTCTTTCTTTGCAGCGTCTTTCCACCTGTTATTGCGCCCTACGAGGGAATTAGTTTTGCATCCACAGCCTGCTCCGGGGATGGAGATGACACTCATCAGGATTTTGAGTGATAATGCCAGTTACTGATTAAATATTAGCCTCTAAAGTAAACTCAGCAGTGGACGCTGTTAGCATGTTTCGTGGTTTGGTTAATCTCTTTTGAAACTCGGGTTGAGAAACTTGCAAGATTATGCTAGATAAAACAAATTAATAATTACCCAACGGACAAACCCAGGCAAGTGTTGCCAAAGTTTTGCCAAATCTATTGATAAAGTCGCCAAGTCAGCAACACTGACAGCCCGTCAGGTCTCCCTCCAAAGCCACTCCCCCAAAATTCAGATTATTTATACTGAACATGTCTATTGTACTCACAGCTGTTAAGCAAATTTAAGAAGACTCCGGTGACCTGCAATAAGTGCACGGAAAGAGTGAGCTCAGGCAGACAGTTAGGAAGGTAGGAAGACAGGTAGACGGGCCATCAAGTCATATATATATTTTATTCTATTTATTGATTGCACGCGGGATGTAATGAGAACAACATATTGTTGATGAAGATCACCTAACGTAGCTTTATCCAATGTAAATAAATAGTCTTAAAATTAACAATCCCCATTCTCCAATTCATGCAGGGGGCGTGTAGCAGGGAGCATCAAACGTGCCATTGGTTTGTAAAGGTAACGGATTTAGAAGTAACTAACCCGGCTCTGTTGATCACACAGTTTAACGCAAATGCAGGGGGGGGGGGGGCGCTTGATAGGCACAATGAAGTAACGACGTTACATCTGGAAGTGGTAACGAGGTAGGAGTAATGAAGTCATCAATTGGAGCAGCAGTGGGGTTCACCTGTTCAGGTTTCTGTGATTGGAGAGACTTGCGCTTCACTCCGCCCCCCCCCCCACCCCCGGCGCGCTGCCCGCCTCCCCAAACCAAGAGCGAACACACTCGTCACTTGCTTCCTCTACCCGCTGCATAACATGAGCTCCCTTCCCTTTGAGTGGACGTACAACGATACAGATGGTTTCCCAACGGCATCCCGCTTCATGCTGACCGAAACTGTTATTATTTAGGAGAAATATCTCCCCCCCCCTCCCCATTCCCACGGTTACCGGTTGTGTTTTTTTTTTTTTGGATGCGCCATGCAATCTCGCCGGTGGAGTTGTGGAATTCGGCTGGTGGCGTGGACGTGTGTTTGGAGTCTGACATTGCTCGGAGCGTGGTGCATCCCCGCAAATGAAGGTAAAACGCGCACTGACACTTGGTGACACCGCTGTTTGGTCCACGACTTTAATTGGCACTGACAAGTCTGACCGGTTAAAGGTCCGTCTCCGGTGCTCCACACCATCTGCAGTTTTGAGGCTGTTTAAAAAGGAGGTCCTCTATAAAACGAAATTGAGCAGATAATGTTTATGGCAGCCGTGTCCCCCTAAAGTCCGTAATAATGTGTTCCGAGAGTGTAAAAAACACGAAGTAAAAAAAAAAGACCTTTGATCAGAGCATGCGTCTCTCCAGATAAGCAGTCCTTGGAGGACTTGGCGGCGCCGACTGACGCGCAGGGCGCTGCGAAATTCACTGTGAACATCATAAACATCGTCCTGTGCAGCTCATACTGTTGAATTGGCATTGACCTTAAGCGCTTTATTGTGCTTTAAAAAAAGAAGTAGGAGGTCAGCAATTCAACTTGAGTTTTGACATATCTTATAATAATGGGAACTTATAGGTTTGTGCTGCGATGTTTCACTTGATTCCCTTTACAGGTTATTTGAGGTTTAGTCTAGTCTGACATTCTGTCTTTAAAGATGCGGTTGAAATCCCTTTAACACTGTCAGTTCAGATGGCTTGCAGTAATGTTACTTTTCTTGTCAGCTATTAACAGTTTCACTTGGCACCACCACCTCATTTGGCGCAATGATTTCCATTACGCGTGAGGTGAAAACTGTTTACTTCTGAATATCAAATATGGACATTTGCAACGAGGCAAATGTCCATAAGGGAAATAAGTGCAACGTGTGAATCAGTGTGTCAAATATTGTTCCCACGCCATTGTCCGCAGGCTGAGCAGCATCGTAATAGCTCGAGATGAATGCCATTGTTTGGGGGGCTACTAGACAGCATTATCCGGGAAAGAAAGAACATCCATCAACCTGCTTATTCTTCTCGTGGCAGATTTATTTCTTCAATGTTAAGATTCACAAAAGCATTTCCCAAAGTGTGACCATGGGACAGCCGGGGGTCCTGCAGGGCATCTTTCGGTAACATGTCAAATAATTAAAGTTTACCTGGAATGTAAAGGTCACCTCTTTGTGTCCTCTGAATTAAATTACTGTGGGGTTTTTGGTTTAATGGGATACATTGCATGTTGTAGTGTCGGCGTACAAGTTACACAAAGGAGTGAAAAGTTCGATAAAATCACTTGAAAGAAAGGGTATTTTACTGAAAATCTGTCCGTGCCAATTACTCATGAGGATTGCTGTTTGTATCCGCAGTTGAACATACTTGAATTCCTGCCTTGTTAAAATCAAGCTTCAGGCTGCGAGAAGCGTGAATCAATGGCAGCCTGGATCATAAGTTTATGTTTTGACTGCAGTGAGAGAAAAGAGAGAGAGAAGTCCTCACAAACACACGATCTCTCACATCATCTTCCAATGAGCCAGGCATTTCCTCTCCCTGCTGTCTTCGTTCATCACACATATATCCTTTGTTTTGCTCTGCAGCGGCACATTTAAGATTTTTTTATTTCCTGTCTCTGTCAAATTTGACTGAAAAAGTGCAAACATTTTCTCCTTTATTTCAAAATACAACAGTTTAAACACCTCACCCCTTTCGCCAAATTCAACACAATTTTTAGACGAATTTGGCACGTATTTGTATCGCAACGGATAATCACACATCGTATGCATAATTGGAGGGGAGGGTGAAGCCCGTAATTAAAATAGCCGCTACCCTCTCATTGGGCTAATTTATTGTAATTGAAAAAAGTCACATTAAACCATTTTTCAGCTCGCTTTAGACATCTTGGCGGAATCATCGGGGACTCTGGGCACTGATGTTTCAATGTGTCCTCACATTAAACAGCAGACTTGCCTCATGAACAGAATTTTTAAAGAAAGGCCCTGATGCCTCTTTAATAACATTCAGCAGTGAGGACATGTTACCCTGCAGTGGGGCTTCACCGCTCATGACTGATGCTGCTGAGGAAAGCTGTACACACTCTGCCAGCTTGATTAATTCCCCCTGTTGAAGCGAATCCATTATTTTTGAAATTGATCACTTTAATAGAACATCCCGATGCAGAGCCAGATGCCTTCACGTCTGTTGTCGAGATTCTTTTTTTGTCTGTCATTAATAATAATGTCTGACTAATGAGGGGTGTGTTAAGTGACACTTTGGGGAGTTCAAAACTCATATATTTGCTTTTTTTATTGGTAATGGCGTTGATGAAATGAGGACAGTAGATTTTGGGTAGTTACAGTAAATGGCTCGATGGAAGTGTGTGTTTGCCCGCTTACCTGTGGGTCTCCGTTTGAGAGAGAAGGGTGGCCTTAAAGCCCAGAGCGATCCAAGCCAACATGCAAATGTCACATTCAAACATCACAACACACAGACAGGAAAATAAAGGCAAATGTGTTGAGCAAATTACTTACTTACTTATTTACTTTTGGTTTCAGAAGTAAGAGGTAGGACGTGGTTTCAGACGAACCCCATCCCCTGCTCGATTGCTACAAATGTGCAATTAAAAGTAAATGGCAGCCATGTCGCTCTCGGCTCTGTGATCATTTCAAAGATCATTTTTATCTGTACTCCCCATGCTGAACATCTTCTCACTCTTCCAAATTTTTTTGAAATATTTAGAATATCCTTGAAGTATTGTCACCACAAGCCTTTCAATCGCTTCACTCATTTCAATGGCGATGACTTTTAATATGAAGTTCTGTCGATCATTGTCGCGGCTGATCTCCAACTTGTTCGGTGATTTGATCCTTAGAGAGAGAGAGAGAGAGAGAGAGTGTGAACGAGGTAACGTGTCCCTTATGATCTAGTTCAGCATCACTTATCTCCTCTTTATGGCCTAATTAGTTGTCTAATCGCCTCCTAAGGACATCTTTTATTATTCTCCGCAAAGCAGCGGAGACAGTAAGACTAGTGTAGTGTTGTGTGTGTGTGTGGGGGTGGGGGTGGGGGGTGGGGGGGTTACAGAGCGAGCGCGTCTCGGATAGTGAACTAGCTTCCGCCTCATATTTTGCACCTTCTCACTGTGGACCTCTATTCTTTTGTTGACATCAGGGCAGGGTTGATAAGAGGATGGGCTGTCTTGTAATAAAGCTTATCGGAGGACGGGAGATATTGTGCCCAACAGCTGCTTTTCGGACGTGGATAGTATTTATGAGGGTAAACCTTTGGACGATTGATTGAATCTCTTGCATGCTGTTATTGGTCTTTGCTCTGTATTAATGTTTCACTACGAACCTCCTCTTGCTGCCAAGAATCAACACAAGGGATATGTCGGCAAGATACTCTGGTTACTCACTGCTCTGTGAAGCTTCATCACAACTAAGGGAAGAGAGATGGTCAAACATATTGCGATGTGGATTCCAGTGCCTTCTGCAACTAGCACTCACTCACAATTTAAATTTGGCAGATCCCGTGGGAAAATAATTGACAGTCCAACATTCAAAATTTAAATTGTGCCAATAGTGTGATATCCACACCAGCTGTCGTGGATGATGGGGCATTAGTTAGGCATCTGTAATGGAAAATGTCTACTTAGTATATATTTCTACTTTGTATATTGTGTAAATGCAAAAGTACTTGTAATTTTCTTATGTGTATTTTATATTCTTATAAAACACAACTGTTTTATAACTTGTGTAGACTATCATAGGCTTGCATCATGTAACTTGTGATCCATGCAGCTGACTGCCTGCACACATGTCCCCTTCTTCTTCGTGTTGGATAACAAGCACCTACTGTATGTTCACATGTTCTGTGCCTTAAGGATAAAACGTATGCATCTGTGTTTCTGTTGTAACGCAGATAAAGAACTTCTTCTAGTTCTTTAACAGCATGGCCTGCACGGGATGAAACAGGCCCCCCACCCTTGATCACTCTCTTTATAACTCTGTGATTTTTTTTTTTTTTTTTTTTTTTTTTTTTTTTACTTCTGGAGTGCACACTTCTGCAGACTCCAAGTGACTCTGTATAACTGTGCCTCTTCTGTTTGACAATATTCTTCATTTCAGCTTAAAAAGGCTCACCAGCGGGTAAATTCATTTTTCCACCACACGTCTCACTGTTAGTCATTTGCAAAAATGTGAAATATCACACTGGTGGGAGAATCTTTTGCGTATAAAATACTTCGATTTGGCAAATACGAGTAATTTCCATTTTTGGCCGCCTTCCTTGTCGGTGTGATCACATTTGAACCCAGGATTTGTCAGGTTAGCGGACCGACTTATAAAGACGGCTGTGAACGGCAGTTTAAATCGACAGCGGTTAAAAAACAAAACAGTCACGTGACTTGCATCATGGAAAAAAAGTGTGTAACCCTGACCCTGACCTTTTTATACCATTAGAGGAACCCAGTAGCTGATCAGAGTTACACTACATCACATGTGTCAAGTGGGTTCAGTGGGGATGGTGTGTGAGCGTAGACGACCTAAACCGGACATAGTGCATCAAAATGTCCATTCCTCTAAGAGGCAGGCATTCTCCAAACACCACATTTGGTTCTAATGACTGCTTTGGATTTTTATTGAAGCTTATTTGTATCCTTGTAAAATTGAAGTGAGGATATATTGTGATTTAAAGCATGTAGGGACTGAAACAGTGAATCTGCAAGTGGTTAAGTATTCTGTGGAGGCTCTGAAAGGGAGATATCTTAGACCAGTTAGCATGTATAACATATACTACTTCTTCTATTACTAGTATGCTGAAATGTCTAGCTCTCAATCTGCTCCCATTACATGGAGACGAGAAGCTTGACAATAGAGCGTTCAGTTGGACTTTCTCTTTTATTATTTGAGTGCACGCTGTGCCTAGACGCTGAACAAGCCAAACGTTATCACAGATGAGATAAAGAGAACTGAACTCCGGCCCGACAGAACTTGAGTCTTGTTTTTTAAAACAGCGAGAACGTTCATACAGAGCAGTGGGAGGATAATGCAGAACTCACGAGAGACTATATGCCGTCACCAGTGTTGCACAAGTGGTCAGGTTTATTGCACTTGACAGCTTTCAACTGAGAGAGCTGAGAGAGCTGAGAGAGCTGAGAGAGCTGAGAGCACCGTTGGGGCACGGAACCACTCGGGAGTGTCAACAAGATGCACAAAAGAGTGTAACTAGATGATAGCCACTTGTCTTGGCACAACACTCCAGGCCATGCCAAATGTTATGTCAACTCATCATGTGGCTTTTAAACAACTTTTGTAATGAATTCCTTTCAAAGTCATCATTTAAAACCAGTTTAGTAGGTTACAGAGATTGAAAGTGGTCATTAACCTGACACGCACTTTCACAATTCTCCAAACTCGCATCCAAATCTACACAGCAGTCAGCCTCGGTGATATACCTGTCACGATTTCACCTTTTATTAGCTGAATACATATGATTGTAAATTGTTTTATGTTGGTCGTTTATCCATACTTAACGCTGCCTGTGTTTCTAATCTTTCACAGTGAACCTGCTGGATTCTCGCTCTGTGATGGGAGACCTAGGATGGGTGGCCTATCCTAAGAATGGAGTGAGTATGACCATTGCTAAGATCATTCAATTGTTGGTTGATTACAAAAGAAGAAGAAGAAGAAGAATACAATTTGACAAATGCTGTTATGGTGACACCTACAACTTTTTAGTGTCATTGTTTCATGATTGGTTGTCTTCTTGGAGGCTCCTGTTGAGTAGAAGTATACATATGTGTTCTTCTGTTTCTTTTTGACACAGTCGAAACACCTTATGACATGAAAACAAATCTATGTAGTTCAAATATCTTTATCTTCTTTCAGAAGATTCATTACCCATCAGCAATGGCTTGACTCTGTCTAACAATAAACTCGCGTCCGTCCAAAACAGTTTATGTAGTTGTGAACTCGCTTTCAGCGTGTGACCAAAGGCACCTGTGTCGTCATTATTTCACACTGAACTACCGGCTCTTCAATTGTTTTATCAAGGTTATTTCAGGTCATTTCATTACCAAGAACTCTCAGTTCATTATCAGGGTCAATTGAATTCATGAATAAGATGTTGAAAGTCACCGCGGGATATATTATTCTCAAGCCAGGAATTGAAATGCCATTACCAAGTATTCCCATGGGGACGGCTAATTAGAGAATGACTCACTAGAGTTGGAAAACACTTATTTTGTGGTATTGTATATTGTGTTTTAATGAAAAAGAACCAGCATTTAAAATAAATGTATTAATGTATTCTGGAGCGTCAACACGACCTCGACTCAAGAGACTGTAACTGACAGCCGAATCTGCCACCTTTTGTTGGTAAAAAATGAAATTTCCCAACCTCCAAGGGATTGATAGTGCTGCTGCGGTCACTCTAAACAGGAATTAATTTTGTGCATCCATTTGATCCACATAGGAAAATGTCTCACATAGTCGCCACTCCTGTTGGCAAATATGCAGCTATTACACACCGGACCAATAGTGCTGACCGTAGCGTTTTGTCAGCTCTGGGTATTCAAATCACGGCCCACTCTGTGGCTGTATGTAGATGGGAGAGATGGTGCTGACAAAAGCAGCCGTATGCGCATTTCATATTAATGACGATGTGATTATGGCATGTGGTTTCTAGAGTGCACCCGCATAAATAACAGCTTTCAGGGGGGGACGGAGGAACAGGAAAGAAAAGACGCGATAAGGCCATGTAAGGATCTCATAATGACATCCTCTCTTATTAGCTCTTAGGTTTTTGTTCAGCTCCAGTTTCAAGTGATTAAAATGTATTTTTTTTTAATCTGTTCAAGTTGACTGACAGTGAAAGGACAAACATGTCTGACAAAATGAATAATTCATTCCCTGTTTGGCATTTTAAATAACAGACGTTATCGTTGTTGGCCATTATATTTCCCATCATGCTCACCACATATACGGCAGAACCCAATCTGCAGCATGCTCTCGCACGTTCGCCACGCGCACAAACACACATTTGGCAGCAACAATCTTCCGTGGCTAAATAGGACGTTGAGGAGGCACAGAAGTTTTTTTTTGTTCCAGATGGTTTGTTTCATCCCTGGTTTTCTCCTCCTCCATCATCATCTCTCCTCTCATTCTTCACTCTTGTTTTCACTTCTCATCCCCTGCCCCTCCCATCCTTCATTGTCCCCGAACATTCATTTTTACTCCTTTTTCCCCGTGTTCTTCTCATTCTTGTCATCTGCTCGTCTGTTCTTTATCTCACCATCTCCTTACCGCTGCGCTCTTCTCCCAAAGCTCCAATGTGCTTTGAAAGTTCTTGAAACATGCATTTTAGCAAAAGAGAGATGGGAGTAAAATAAGGGATTTAAAGAAAAGTGTTTGAAACTTAATGGATGACCTTGAATATGACACATTTCAATGAACAGCGGGACACTGACGTAGTAGGTTGTAAAAACACAATTAATAGCTTGATTTTTTTACTAAAAACCTTTCTCGCCTCATCTATGATGAGCTCCTTGAACAGTTGAGTGTTCTTCTCTTCTGTATACACAGCCTTCTTTATTCACAAGCATATTATAAACTGAAATTAGAAAGGCCTTACGAAGTGTTCCTTTATTGAAAAATCTATTACGGAAGTCTGGCGATGCTGAGAGACGGGTGTGGTGTGTGACAGAGGTGGAGATCTGCAGGCGGTAACGGCTTGAAATGGACAAAGAGTGTGAGAGAGAGAACTCGGAAGAAAACCCAGGCTCCTGTGACCTCGCGAATAAAAGTCCTCTTGAATGCGAATTCTTCATGGCCAGTCAGGAAGACAGTGATAAACTAGAGAACGAGACAAGAAGATCTTAAAAGTGGAACTAGTTTCATTTTGTCTCCTACCCGTGTCTCAGTATAGGTTGATTACTGCAGCAGAACGGATGAGGTTGAAAGGGGTTTAGGTCGGAGAGAATAGAGGGAAATGGTGTGTGTACGTAGTTGAATGCAATTAAATAGCGCTTGATGATGTAGGACGATATTCATAGGTTATTTGACTGATGAAGAAACAACAAAGAGGATTATTAGGAAGAAAGCAACCGCCAAAGTTTAAGTATTTTGCTTGAGGCTCTACATTTGAGCACATTTGAGTTATAGTTAGACGACACTGAGCTGGTGTCCTTGGAATTTCAGTTGGCGAATGAAAGGTTGCTTCCTCACTATTGCTGATCATATGCATTTGGGTGGATTCTTTTATCTGCTGCTTCTTAAAGCATCTTGAAGGGAGAAGAATAAAGTAAGAAAAGTCATGAATGAAGGTTCCATTAAAGGGATGGATCCCACAATATGGATTATTTTATTCTGTCCATCAGTCTCAATTACCTCCCATTTTGCTCAGTCTTTATCCGAACATTAGTTGGCAATGGCCCCTGGGCCTGTAAAGATGTTGACACACCAAGCCGACCTCAAAGAACCTATTGGCTGACTGATGACACACGTTGTGACGCCTTAAGTCACCTCAATTTTTCTGTTTCAAGTTTTTGTTTGAAGAAAACACAAAGACAACTGTCCCGCGCCACGCTACGGGCCTGCATGAAAGGAAATGGTCTGCAGAAAAACCTTTCTTTACACAAAGACGAACTAGCCCACCATTCTCCCACCACTGTGAATCTGTTGAAATGGACTTAATGCAGAATACCAGACTGTCTGACCCAAAGTTGCAAATGAGAATGTTAAATTAGTTTTTTTTTCATTGGCTGCTTCTGCCTTTCCACTGGGCTGAACGATTTGAGGAAACTATCTAATTCTTTATGTAAAAAAAAAAAATTATCCAAGTTTCCTAGGGTCCCATGTGACATCTTCAAATGTCTTGTTTTGTATAACAGTCCACCATCCTGAATATATTGTTTAGTTCATAAATGTAATTTAAGAAAGCAAATCCTCAAAGCTGCAACCAGAGAATACTTATTTTTGCTTTAAGAAATGACTTTATGACCTAATCGATTATTAAAACGGTTAGCAGTTAATTCTCTGAAGACTAATGGACTTATCGCCGCAGCTGTAATTGCAAATATTTTTCCGACCGACATTGCAATTTCATTGTGAATCGTTTCTATAAATCAAACCCCAGTCTTAGTAGTTGTGATATACATATATTGCAATAATACTGCTGGCTTTGGCCAAGTGTGTTATGTGCACTTTGTATTATGACATAATAAATCCATCATTATCATTTTAGATATCGGACTGACAACCCTGCACTTACATCTGCTTAAGTTGATGATGGATGATTAGCTCATTAGTCTTTACGTTAGTGTGAGAAGCAAAAAAAAAAAAGAAGCAAAACAGAAAATGAGGTGGAACCATGCTAAATTGGTGTAACTTGCTTTGCTGTACAGCCACTCGGAAAGCTCTCTTTCATCGACCGCCTCTCGCTGATGCAGCATGTTCAATTGACCAAAGATAAAGGCAAGCTAGCATCAAAGGTGCTGAACGCACTGCAGAAATACTCTGGGCAATAGTGAGGCACAGACACTCAATGACGGCTAACAGTTGGCCCGACGTGTCAGGGTCCTGGACTCTCCGTCCCTAATGAGGAAGGGCAGCGGCTGTTTGAGCAGTTGAAGGAGTGTTTGCATAGGGATTCGTTCTGCTGCAACTCGTACGCTATTTAGCAGGCCTGGTTTTCCCTTAATGCACATGACGGTACCATAAGGAAGGGAAGACAAGGTGGCGGGAGGAGAGGGGAGCGGGGCTATACGAGAATGGCGGACAATCGCTAGAATAAGGTGTGACGGAAGGGATGGTCGGGGACAAGGAAGAAGAAGACGGGAAGTCAGAAGCTGCAAGTTGAGGAGGCTGAGATGGAGAAGGGTGGGGGGGAAGCGGACGAACAGTGTTTCTAGGTTAGACTTAAGATTGGATAATGAAAGGAAGAATAGAGGACACATGGAGGGAAAATGATGATGGACACGGATGACATGAAAAGGCAGAGGAATGAGGCACAAGAAGAGTGACGTTGGAGTGAATTAGATTGGAGCAGAAATAGGGGGGGAATGTTGTAGGTGTGTGCGCGGGGGGTTCTAGGGATAAGGAGGGAGAGGGACAGTTCTATCACAGTGTCATGACGGTCAGCGGTAATGGGCGGTAATAATAAGTTGGGGACAGCTTTATAGACTTACAGCCAGGAGGGCACTCAGCACAGCCACAGGGGGTCTGCTGACGGATGTGACTCACACACGCGCCCACACACACACGCCCACACACACACACACACACACACACACACACGATAGTCAACAAAACAAACGCACGCTAATGAGGAGCCAGAGGGATGCCTATAGGGACAGTTCAGTGTAGGGAGCGAACTGAAATAGAGGCAAGCGCTGCGTGAGGAGGTCTGAAAGGCCTGACATTTTTTTTTTTATTTTTTTTTTTTTGAACTCTGATTATTGGGATCATTTGCCACTGTTGGGACCAAGAACTCTCAATCTGTTGGCTCTTTGAATTGTATCAATTCACCCAAATCGCACCAAAACAAATCGTATTGCTAGTGGTATCTAGCCATGCAGATCACTTTGGTTTCACGTGTCCAGGTGTTGAGATAATTACCCCTAAATCGTCTGCTGCCACCATAATATAATGTGATTAAAGGGCATTTTGTTCACGTTGCTCAAAGCTTTGAAAAAACACGTCAGAAATGTAGCTTTTAAAAAACACAATGTCCAATCTGGAATCTTGAGGGAAAAAAACGGCAGGAATCTTAGAAACACATATGTGGAAACTTCATTGTGTGAACCCGAAAGTGTTTGTGTGGCTAGATACCACTATAGGAAAAAAGATTTCTTAGAATTATGAATGAACTGACCCTTTCACGAAGAGGTTGTGTGAATTGCATGAAAGTGAGGTGGCCGGGCTGAAGATGTCGCCGTCACATTTGTAAATATCTGTAAAATGTAATGTAGAAATAGTTATTAGTTTTTCAAAGCAACACTTTGGTTTCTACAGTGCCTCACATTAGTATGGGTGGTCCTGATTAGTATGCTGCCCTCTGCACTGAGCTTTGTGTTTGCTTCGGAGGCCCACCCCACCTAATACCATGTACAATAGTTTTAAAGATCCCATGCATTTGAACTTGAGCTCATTCCTGGAAAGCGCAAAGTCATCACAATCCCTTCCTTCTGCCCGTGACTACTGTACCAAATCTGTCCCTTTTCTCCATAAATAATAGCCCTTTGTTTTTTTGCTTAAGATGTCTCGTTTCTAGCCTTTGCCAGGAAATGCATCGATGATTATGGTTATCATTTTATGCAACCTTTTTTAAAAGCAAAGGAGTCACAACTCCTGCTAACTTGAATGGAAGTGTGTGCGTCTCAGTGCTCTTTTCAAACTGGCAAATGGCTCCTGTTCGAGTGTCGTGTCAATTTACATCAGTAATCAAACACTGTTATTACAGTAGAGCTGCAAAGTGGGCTGGACTTCCAGCGGCAACAAAGGCAACCACACTTTCTACACAGATACTGAAGCCGTTTGGTTCCAGGCATAACTGGAGAAGGTTGTCTGCGAAACTCCCTGCTGGTGTGTGTGTGTGTGTGTGTGTGTGTGTGTGTGTGTGTGTGTGTGT